TGGATGTCTGCGGGCTGAGAGTCAGGCTCAGCGGCTCTTCCATAGTGTGGCCTTTATGGCGCTTCCAGTCGGGAGCATACCTAGCGAGACGTGCTGTTTGGTACGCGTGTTGAGTGTTTGTCGCGCCAGCCGTCTGCGCCCTCCCGCATTATTATTTCCCGGCCTTCTTGACTTTGTCTTGACAACCGGAATTAGGCGTGGGAGTGATCAGAGAGTGGGGTAGACCCGGCTAGTTTGCCTTCACTGTACTTCCACCACAGTCTCCGTGTGCTTCAACTCGTTGAAACTCGTAAAGGATATCATCGAAATCAACGGTCGAACTATCTGTGGCATGTGTTATGGCACGCATCCCGAATAAGACCTATCGTACCTCCCCCCCTGTTGATCCAGCGCAGCTGTGACGCGGCCCCTCTTATAACAAGTGAATAAATAATACTGCTGAGAAGTCCACAGAGCCTATCTGTTGGTTCTCTGAAAATATCAATCTTTTACTTACCCTCAAAGTAGGCATGCTCAGTCCGCTCGGACGGTAAAAGCAATGTCATCTTACCCGTGTAGTCTTCTGTTTATCATCTTTTGACGCCAGTTGTCCCTCAAGGCTGTTAATTCGACCAGTGAGCTCATCGACTTTTGCCTGTAGTTGTTTCACCTGTTTACAAAGCGAAAAAAGTATTTAATGCACAATAAAAACACACACCTTCTATAGCCATCAGTCACGCATACTGTTTGCTTACCTGCTCACCATTAGGTTTCGGATTTTCAGCGTTGGGTGAAATTTGGCGCGGTTTTATGGCGTCAGCTGCTGCATCTAAAGCATGAAGTGATTTCAGCTTCTCCGCATACTCCCGTTGTTCTCTATTTTCCTTTTCAAGCGCGCGAAGCTTTACCTAGATAAGAACACGTCTGTAGAGCTGCCATTTACCGATTTTGTCAAGGGTCTCAATAAATTCATAAATGCGCAAAATGCTTACTTCGAGCTCACTAATATATTGAACCCTCTGCCTGTCTGTTTCCTCATTCTCTGCTAGTGAGTTCTGTGCCTTAGCGAGGTCTTCGGTGAACTTTTCAACAAGAGTCTAACAGGACTCAGAAGCTTTGTGATTGAGGTCAACCTACCTCAAGTCGTTCTCGTTCCTTTTTTTGATAGTCACTGAACTTCATTTCGTTCTCTAGCGCTTTGCGAGTGCTCTCAAGATCATGCAGTGCCTCCTCTTTCGCTTCCTGAAATTTCATTGCAAAGTACTTACTACTTAATGCTGTGAGGAAGAGCATAAGAGAAGAAACGCACACGATTAATTTTCTATTTCACTAAATGTCTATATTGTATAAAAATATTTTAAAAATATTTTTCTCATAGTAAATTCACGTCACCTTCAAGTTTTCTACTCAAGGATATACAGATATTTACAAGATCCCTTGTAGCACCTGCAATGCAGTCTATTGCGGACAGACAGGACGATCAGCCTCCACACGCTTAGGCGAACATCAACGAGCGGTAAAAGTCGCCATGCAACCATTAGAGAGTGGACACCAATTTGCGTGGGGCGAAACTTGTGTTGTTGGCTCTTGTCCATACAAGAAAGGCCGCGAGTTTTTAGAAGCCATAAACTCCGACTACTCGTGCATCAACAGGCACGTCAAATTGGACGCGATGAACACCAACCTCAGGGAAGCATGGAAGAGACGACAGTCTATCCGGACTAGAGGAAGCGAAAACCAGCCACCATCGACAGCACGATTAATTGCGGTCGACAATTAGTGCCCGACCGACCACATAATTACTTGCGGGTGACAACTAATTTTTTTCCCCACTGACCGCACAATCACATGCGGGTGACGATTATGGACTATTACCTTACCCACTATATAAGCTTTTGTTGAAAATCATTTTTAATTAACTGTATCGTGCGATTTTCATCCGTCTGACGATGACTTGGTGGGCCAGTGTCGAAAATGTACAAAATAAACCACTGTTTCCCAAAGAAATACTTCTACCGAAAAGGGTAGCGTTTTCCTAAGTATTTTTGATTGTGAGGATCTTAAAGACAACGAAAATTCAATAAATAAATTATCATATCTGTCTGTTTGGTAATAGACATGGTTTACAGCCACTGCGATATTGTATGAGCACCATATGGCGTCTTCTAAACTGCGTTGACAAAATGATAGGTTGGAAACTCCGAGTACAAGTTTAGTGGCGGGTCAGGTTTAAAATTAGTCGAGAATTGAAAAACAGGCAATGAATTCTTGTGACCCCCTACTAATCGAGCAACGAATGCTAATCCTAACGGACACCATGAATGGGATTGGAGTTAGCTCTATGGCAAGTATAGGTAGGCGTGGATGGACGGAGATGCTATACGATATAATTCAGTGCTCAAAAAACTAGCCCACTGTAACGAGGACGCCGGACAGATTAATGTATTTTTATTGCCAACGCGTGACCACCCTTTACTGTGCATCCCTATTGACCCCCTTTCCCGGATCAAACGCGCAACTCCCCACTGTGTTCGTTC